TATATTTTTCAGTTTCAGAGGGCCCATCTATAGTGCTGATTTAAGGCACTTTTGCCATTTTTAGGGTGCGTTAAAAATGGTGACTTTAGGCTAATTGCTTTATGCAGTATCAAATTTAGGCATGAATAGTTAAGGCACCTTAAGGGACATGTAGATGCCTTAAGGCACCCTAACGTTATGTAGGTTGACTGAGCGGGCTGGAGCTGAAACCGCAGGGCCTCGCGCTGCTGCTGCCAGCTACCAAGACGAGAAGCAGTGGGCGGTGTTCCCCAAGGTGCAGATGCTGGAGCTGTAGTGGCAGTTCTGGCAGCAGCAGTACCTGTTGATGTGCTGACCAATGAATGTACATGGGGGCACAAAAAAACAAAACAACCCAAGCCCTGGCACGTGTGAGCAGGCCAGAGAGGAGCAACAGCTTCACATGCTCCCTGTGTTGTTGCGAAGAACTGTGCCATGCAGAGGCAGGCATTGTGCCCTCACATGTAGTCATCAGTTGGCACACCAACAGGTACCACTACTGCCGGAACTGCCACTCCTGCTCCAGCACCTGTGCCTTGGAGAACAGCACCCACTGCTGCTTGTTCCTGGCGGTGCCCAGCAGCAGTGTGGGGCCCCGCGGGCTGGCTCTGGTCGGCTCTTGACTAACGCTGGGGAGGGGACTGAGCCAGTCATGTCCAGGGGGACCGGAGGATCTTACCCCCTCTTCCAGCACTGGGTTGCACTGCCCAGCTATGATGCAGCGGGCTTTGAGGGGCTGTCCAGGGTGCTGCCCAGGGCAGGCTGCAGGGGGCTGTCCAGGGTGCTGCCTGGGGCAGGCTGCAAATGCATTTGCCTGGCAAGCCACATTAGAGCTCCTTAAGGAGTGCACGTGTAGACATGCACCTAAACTTAGACTAAGGGGCATTAAGTTTAGGCTCATGTAAATGTACGTGTAGACGCACCCAGAAAGCATTGTCTTGGGGAACAGAATGTCTGCGCAGAATGACAGAACAAACCGGCCTTGCCTGCAGCTGGTGCATGAATGCAGTCTTTTTAGAAGTGCAGGCAATGCGCCCCTCATGTTAGTCATTTTCTCTCGGGCAAAATCTGTGCGTGTTTGTTGGTCTCTGCTTGCATCACCCAAAGAGGTAATGAAGGCTCCAAATAAACTTCAGAACCAGCACTGAAGAAGGGGAAATAGAATGATGTTGCCAAGACATTTGACTCTGTTAGGGCAGTATTTGGGGTAAACTGTTTCCTCTTTCTTGAAGACATCACAATATTGGCCTCTCTGCTTTTTATGTTTTCTCCTTACAAAATGGCTGCTCTATCATGGTTGTATTTTGGATTAATCAAATTATGCCAGTTTCATAGTGCATTGTAAGGAAATAGATTAGTAATACTGGTCAGACCCTGGAGCATCAGGAGTTTTCTCTCTCTCCTTTTTCCATCTGAGAGACTGAAGGTTTCTTGGATGATATCCTGTGACATAGACTAAGTACAGACATTCAAAAAGTCAGAGGAGGAATTGATCTAAGTTACGTAGTTTAGATCAGTAGCAAGCAGAACGCCCATTTGCCCTGTGGTGGGGGGCAGGAAATCTTGGACCAGTTTCTGCCATTTTTAAACCAGTCTATGTATGCCAAACTTCTGTTCTGTTACAAGTATTTGATCACTTGTATCAGTAAAAATTAGGGACCAAATACATGATTTTATGGAAGTTGTGTAATTGGCAGTCTTCCGTGAAATAGCTGGTTCCACATGAAAAAGTGTGGGAAATCGGCTATGTTCAAGAAGTCAGCAAAGAGCTGGCAAAAAGCTGTCTACTAGAAGGGCAAGGGGAGGGGGAAGGGAGCAAAGAGGAAGAAAGGGCAGACTGCCCATCTTCTGAAGCCTGCCAAAAGTCCCTGTCTCCTGAAGTGGGACAGGGGAGGAGGGATGACAGCCGGAGCAGAGCAAATCAGAGACTGAGCCCCTGATGTCGGCTCAGTCCAGGAGCTGGTCAGCTGCCTGCCTCTTGGTTTACTCCTCAACCCGCAAACTGGGGCCAACAGCATGCGGGAGGGAGTGTGTATTGGCAGGTGGCCCCTCAGCCCATCAGAGGTGTGGGGGACTCACTTCGCTCCACCTCCAAAATGGCAACCCCAGCCATGATATGGCAGTGAAATCGGGGGCCCTGGCCATGTTACAGCTGTGTAATTGACCACCGGAGCTCATGAATTTGGTGGGTCTCTAGTGAAAATGTAATGTCTGTACCTGACCTTAAAGCTCAGTGTTTTGGTCAGAGCCTTTTGGGAGCTGCTCAGGGCTTTTTCCAAACGGGCATAAGTAGTAACAGTAATAGTTAAACAATGCTGAGCTCAGTCTTCTTCAGCTTTCTATTTCAAAAGATGATAAAGTAATAACTTACATGTGAGAGATTTTCAAAACTGTCTGAGAGTGAGAAAAATGAGGCCTGTTGACTCAGGCTCCCAAGTCACTTAAAAACTTTAGAAAGTCCCAGCCCAACTGCTGGTGTGCTCATTTTAAAAAGAATTCAGACTGAGGTAACTTTTGAAAATGGGACTTTGTGGGGGCTTACATTTTTTTCTGTCTTTACAGACCACACCATTTCACCTTTTGTTGCATATGTTCTTGTGTATGCATAGTTTTTCCAGGGATCTCATTCTTACCTTAAATGAAACAGGAATTGGGGTCAGATTTTGAAAAAACCAACACCTAGTGGTATTTTCAAAAGCACTGGGTCTCCCAGCTGCAGAGTCGTAGCAGGACAGCTTCACACATGGGGCAGCACCAAGCTACCACGGTGTGGATCACAGCAGTACACATTGTAGTGGTGGCTGACCTTGTCCCCACCACTCCCCAAAGGTGGTGCACAGGGCAGCTTCCCTGATTGTTGCCTCTCAGTGGTGCTACTGCCTGGGTGGTAGGTGCATAGATGCTTCTGAAAATTCAGCTACACCCCCAGAGCTTTGCTAGATGAGTTCTGTCCTCTACAGGACCAAGCCTAATCTGTGTCAGGGAGAACTAGGAAGTTAAACCAGGATGTAAACACATTCTATTCGTTGTTCCAACAAGGAGAAAAACGTAAAACAGGTTACATGAATGGAAAGACCAATTTGAATTGCAAACAGATTAACTAAGTTCTCAATATGGGCAGAGTAAAAGGAGGAGGGAGAGACTTCCCCCCCCACCCCCAAAAAGTACAGTTAAAACTTTGACAAGATGCTTTCTATCTGCTAATTGGGTTAATATTTCATAGCTTTTAAGCAGGATAATCGGACCTTTTTAAAATTCTTTTTTAGATCCAAAGTAGCATGAATTTATGAACACGCGAGCTGTGGCCAGATTCACAAGTATGCTCACTCTGGCTGCTTTATAATGCTCCAGTGATGCAAAACAGCCAGATATCCTGCTTCATGAGCAAGTTAAGCCTGTGTCTTAGAACCAAGTCTAAACAATTCTTTTCATTCCTGCATGTCTTATAGAGCCTGATCTATAGTTCACTGAAATGAATGGAAAGACTTCTGTGACTTCAGTGGACTGTCTGAGTCTTTAAAGAGCTTTTACTTTGAAATGCTTCTTGTGGCACATTCTGGCAAGTGCCTTTAGCTAGCGGTACCAAATTTATAAAGGACAAAATACAGAATATTGACAGATGAAAAACTGGTAGGTTAATATCTACCTTGCAGTGGAGGGAGATTCATCCATGACTGTTTTTAAGGCAACTGTCATAAAGTCAAGTCCAGGTTCTCTTGATTAAAGGGGTACTGTCATGATTTGAGGCAGTGAATTTAGAGTTTCTTTATGACAACCCAAATATTTTTGCACTGTGCCAAGCATTACCAAGCCAAAACATGCAGTAATCTTGAATCTGGACCACCATCACTTCCTCTGCCTCCTCCTCACCTGCACCTGCTCTAGAGTGCACTTAAGAGACATTTTCAAGCTTTTCTTTGCAACCTTAAGGACTCTTGTCTGTCAAAACCTGAGATTTCCCATCATCATTTGTCTCAGGAACTCAGTCTTTTAAATAAAACACTGAAATTGTGAGATTTGTGATAAAATCACAGGTGTTGACATAATTGACACTGATTAGTCTATTCATTGTCAAATGTATAAAAAAAGCAAGCTATGTATAAGTTGCATTTTAAAGTATATTTTAAGATTAATAATGTTAGACACTCAGACGCATGCTGGTCTAACATTTTCCTGGCAGACTCTCAACCTAGGGACTCCCTGGGCATGTTAATAAACTTGTTTCTCTTTTCTGAATGAGGCTGAGACTATCCTGAGAGTTCATAGTTTTTAGCTACTGTAGTATGATTTATATGAAATGGTTAGGTAAAAGGGGATTTCTGGAGTATTAACTTTTATATAATTGGCCTTTTGTAGTGTGCTCAGGAATGTCTGAAGATGAGGTGCTCTTGTTGTGGAGTAGATGTTTAAAGTGAACATGAATTCATTTTAAAAAGTAAATTTTTAAAAAAAGGTGGAGTTGAAAAGAACACACTAATTTTTGCAGTAGTTTTGACACGCGTAAAATGAGATTAGAAGTATTAATGGAGTCTAGAGAAAAAACTTCATAACTGGAAAACAAGTTGAGAACATTTGGAGAATTCAGTAAATATTGTGACTTCTGTTTCATCTGTCTGGATAAAAGCTTGGATGCAGTTCATGAATGCAAAGTTCAGAAAAAGGTTACACAGTTACTAGGAATGGCTTGTGTCCTCCGGTAATGAAGAATTCAGGTTTGGGCATTTATTCAACCATTTTATGTGTAATAAAGAATAATAGCTCCATCCTTGCAATCCTTACTGTAGTGACTACTGCAGTTTACTCTCACGTGAACAAAAACTAATTTATTGAATAACAAAGGCTTGCAGGATTAGTTGTAGACCTAGACTCATAGATCATAAAGAGGCTCATTGGTATTGTTGTTTAGGGAACATGTTCCTAAAAAAATGAGAATGCATGTCCCAGAAATATTTACTCTTTTCTTTAAACTGCTCATTTCAAAGGCAGCCCACTGAAGGTCGATCCCGAGATGGAGGTTTGCGTCTTGGAGAAATGGAACGAGATTGCTTGATAGGTTATGGAGCCAGCATGCTTTTGTTGGAGAGACTGATGATTTCAAGTGATGCCTTTGAGGTAGATGTCTGTGGGCAGTGTGGCTTGCTGGGATACTCTGGCTGGTAAGTTAACTTTTTTTTTTTTAATGGCTTTCTATTTCATGTTCCTCCTTCCCCGTTCTCCTTTCATGTTCTATTCATCCACGTAAAACAAAGTTGTTGAACCTTAAATTGGGCGAAACAAACTGACTAGCCCGCAGTGGATACATCTACAGGACAATGCATTGCACATGCTGTAGTCCGTTTTGTCTTTTAAAGTAGGCAATAGTTAACAGTTCTGTATATTTTAATGAATCTATCAATGACAGCATAGGTCTAAAAGTGTCACTCACAAGGCTCAAAAGATTGATACCAGGATACAAAGCCTTGCGAGTGCAGAGCTAAATTCTGTCCTAAATGAGATAGAGATTCAGAAAGTTCAAGTCTGGCCTTCATAACCTGTTTTTCAGACTAGATAAATATCCATGTCCCAAAATTGCCGTCCTAATTGCCACCTGGGTTGGCTATTTCAACAAGGCAGGCCAAGGTTGGACATGGATGCTCTAACAGCTTATCTACACACTGTCTGCATGCCAGTTTGACAACTGAGCTAAATCAGTTTTGTTACAACTGCTCTAGTCTGGAGTGTGTCTTAAGTCCATTTTAATGTGTTAAGTTGATTGGCTTAGCAGCAATTAGTTGCAAGGCTGTTTAAAGTAGATTGTATCCTTGCACAGAGTTGAACTGATCTTTAACTAAATGGATTTAAAATAACACCTCAGTTAAACAGGTTTGATTTTGTGGGTATATCAGGGCTTAGCTGTCCAAATCATTAGCAGAGCAGTGAAGGGAAGCTTCTACTGTTCTGGAGACTATTCTCTAGACCAGTAAGGCTCAACCACCAGCCCATAGGGCTGTCTCATCTGCCCCTCAACTCTCCCCAGGGGTCCAGAAAGTTGGCAGTAGGGGACTGGTGGCAGTGTTAACTGCCAAATTTCTGGACTTGTGAGGAGCTGCACAGACAGGGTGACATGGCCCTGCAGGCTCGCTCACCAGTCTGCAGTGGCACCAGCTCATTGAGTCACTCTGGGGTCAGGCTGGCATGCTGACCATGTGTGCAAGGATCTGTGGGCTGGGCCCATGCCACTCAACCAGCCCCTGAGACCAGAAGGGTGGGTACTACTGCTCTAAACTATCTCAGGATACTAAATTTTTTTTCCTTCACAAAGAGGGCAATGGGATTTTTTTTTGAGAGAGAGAGAAACAATGTTACATACTTCTAACCTAGGGATGCATATTTTTTTTTTGGAGGGCTCTTACTTATATAGAGTACTTATATCCTTTTGTGTTCTGCCTCTTGTGTAGTAAAATCACTTTTTTTTTTGGTTACCACCTCACTGGGCTTTTTTTGCAAGTAATGAAATACACACACCCTCCCATTTGAGTTCCTAGCTGTGGAGGCTCTTTTTATGCCTTGTATTCTAGCTTCTTCAACAAATCCCAGAGTAGAGAGGTGGTAAGCTGTGTTAGGCAGAAGGCTGAAGTAGCAAAATGTATGTCTCTCTGAACTAGTTACTTCCCCAGTGCCCTCTAACCCTAAGGCCTACTGTCCATTCCCAGGAGCAGCAGACTTCCTCGGTACGTTTCTGGAATCCTGACCCTGCTATTGCACTCCAGTTGCATAGGTGTCACTTGTCTGAGAACAAGATAAAATAAGACTTTTCCTTTCAAAATAAGTTGCTTCCAAATCTGCCAGTTTTCAGCTGTTTTTCTTTAACATGCAACAGCCCTTCAGTTTATTCACAAATATTTCACTTCTTTCAAAGATATAGAAGAAAGGTCCTGCTGGATTCTTCAGTCATTTCTCCATGTGACACCACCCCGTGGAGGCATACATGTTACAAACTCACTCAGTCCATATTTGTTTTTTCTAAGTACAGCATATTTTCCTATTCAGTAGTAGAAGCAGAAAATATTTGGTCTCCCTCTTCCTAGCTTGTACCAGTTTAATGCAGCACAATGCTTTTGGAGGAGTTGATAGTACTTTGGTCCCCTACTGATGTACGCTTGCCATTGCCAGGGGACAGACTCTTGAAATGAGTTTGAGCGACATTTTCTTCCAGAACTCAATTCCAAGACCCAGGGGTGATGGCCCCTGTAAAATGAAGCACACCAGACAGAACTGTACTATTATTAAAAATTCAAGGGAATCTGTTCTTCATTCTAGGATAAAAAGTGATTCCCATTTAAAAGAATGGGAGCTACTTGCTTTCTGATTGGGAACATCAGATTCTTCATCTTGCTGTTTGGGTGCTAGAGAGACCATCTAGCTTGATATGAGAGAGGCTGTGTGTGTGTGTGTGTCTTTGTTTGTTTTTGTTTTTCTAAAAAAGCAAATGCTCTCACACTGACTAAAGAGTCCTGCTGGCTCAAGTTCTTACTCAAGTCTTTGTGGTGCCTGTAAAGCTGACGGATTATGTCTTTGCAGGACAGAAATCATTTAAAGGAGAATTGGACTCTCCCCTGTGTTTGGCACAGGGAAATTACCTACTTCTCTGGAGATCTTCCAGCTTCTGCTAGAAAATCCTCCAAGTCTAAACTTTAGCCAGACAAAACAGGCTCATCGACTGGATGCAAGACTGCAGACAAAGACCTGATTGCATATATCATCTGTAGTACAAACGAATAATTTACCACGACTGTTTTACTGACTGTGTCCATGTATCTGATTCTGTTGATACCCAACATGCATCACTAAATAATCTGCAGCTGACCTGGTATTAACTTCCTTGAAGACTTAAAGTTTTATCATTTTAACGTAGAATCTCACAGAATAGACCGGAGGTGGAGGAATGAGAGAGAGGTGAACAGCACTTATCTTCGGTAGTTCTGTGGCTGTGGAGTCTCCCCTGTGTTGCTGCATCTTGCGTGACAACTATCTGAGCTCTGCCTCTGTCAGTCTGATTCTAACCAACTGTCTTGTTCTTTACAATTTTTTCTCCAGTTTGGTTTATGATGTTACTGTCTTACACCTCCTGGATTCAAGCCAAACACAGGTTTTATCCTACAGACATCAACACCATTTCTCTTCTTCTCCCCACCCCCAGTACTGTACATTTGGAATTGGATGCAAAAACTCTTCAGAACAGAGCACGTCTGATCTTGTGAACTTTTAATTCCAGTTGCCTGATTTTTCTACTTTGCCTTTTTGTTATACTGGATTCAGGTTACCAGAAATACATCTTTGCTAGGCATCTTTGAAGTTTGCCTGTTTCTTTCATAATAGATTATGGATGAGTTAGGAAAATTGCTAGTATGGGAGTGTGCGCGTAAGAGAAGACATCCTTTTTTGTCTCGGTGTCAGAGTTTTCTTTCCTGCACTGTTATGTCCAAAACTAGAGAACACGTTATTTTGTCTGCTGTTACCTTCTGAAGGAGCAGCTTAGGTAGACAGACAGAGGACTGAAGCAGTTAAACAACCATGTAAACTTAAGGGGCACAAAGCCAGTTGTGCATCTCCCTCAGTGACTTTCTTTTTCAGGTGCTGTCTGCTTTTTCTGTTTTGGTTAAATCAGTATTTTTGGGACATTCAGAATCCCTTTTTTCATACCTACATGTATGTGCTTAACAAGGGCAGCCTATTCACCCTTCTGAAGCTACCACAATACTTGTAGTAGATAACATCAGCACTGCTTAGCCACAGCAAACCTGGCCTTCCACAGCACCATACAGTTGGTTGATATTTCTCACACTGTTATCTGAACTGTTCTTCTGGTTGTGCTTTTGGGACCTTTTAGTTATGCAACTCAGCCCTGAAGCTGTCAGGCCTTAGAAGACCATCTTAGCATTGTCTCATCTTTTACATCTTCAGTTGTGGTTGCACATGGAGGTGGCTGTGTAACTAGGCATCCCTGTCTGCTTGTCTTCCAAATGTGCCCTAGGAACTTGTCATATGGAAAGTATCCAAATAACAAATAATATTTGGGGCACATTGGTGAACCAGTGGTATATGTTGTGACCTGCTGAGCATAGAACCAGAGTTCATTTTCCAGGCCCAAGACCTGGCTACGCAGGCAAGGATATGTTGTTCTGAAGGTAGTGCCTTTATTTCTCAACAAGCAACTTCTTCCTGCTTTTTTAAAGTACTGAATTGAAATCTACATATGCAGATGTAGCCTTTGCTGTTTGGCAAAGTGATGGTTGTATAGGAGTTCTTGAAGGCATTTGAGCTTTTAGGGACCGAAAAAACTAGTGGAAACCTTTTAATGCTTCAGAAAAATGGTTAACGGATCCCTTGTTACTATGTATGTGAAAAATCGGTTTAATAAAATGAAGGGTTTTGTTCAATTATCAAAATCTTTCTATTTACCTTTTGTAACAAAGTTTTATGGCACTTTTGTACACGGTGAAATTTCTCACAAAGAGGAAGAGGTGTTCAAGGCATTCTAATTCTGTGAAAAGTAGTCTGAGGGAAGTAATCAATAGTGGGTAGTTTCAATTAAGCGTTCCGCTGTATCCTTCAGTGGCTAGAGTATGTGGCCCTATAATGAGCATCATAATGGAAACCAAGTAATTAGAGGGATTCAGACCTTCTGAACTGGCTTTTGTCAGTGGTGCAGACATTACGAAGGCATTGCTATAGGAAAGCTTGTAGCAACAACACATTGTTCTGTAGATAATACTAAGGACAGTAGTCCTAGATTGAGGAGAGGGAGAAGGGTTCAAGATAATGGTAGTGTTTGGAGTGATGTTGTAGCCATGATGTTCTAGGAAATATGCAGGAGGCAAGGATTTTCATGGGGGATCTCTTTTATTGGACAAACTACATGGTTAGGAAAGATTTAGACAAGCTTTCAGGTACCAGACAAAAAAAGATCACCCACAAAAATCCTTGCCCTCAAGGCAGAATGCTGCTCGGAGACACAAAACTTGCCTAGCGTGTTTCACTTGTATAATTCATTTCTTCAGGGAAGTAATATTCTGTTGTCCTCTGTGGGTGGATCGTTGCTTCTACAAATCATTGCAGCTCTGAATTCCCAGCAAAGATTGATAGAGAATAAAACACTTACTTTGGATTGTTAATT